TAATAATAATAATAATAATAATAATAATATTAACAATAATAATATTAATAATAATAATAATAATAATAGCAATAATAATAATAATAAAGTGGAAGTGATGAAAAAATATTCGATAAACTAATCACATATTGACGAAATATGTCGAATTAAAAAACTCTCAAGAAATTCGAAACAAACATAAAGCGATGATGTCGATGAGACTGGATTAATCGTGTTACCATAATAACCGCCACGACCACTATAGCACTGAACAGTTGCTGGATATGAACCGTAGTCAAATCCAGTCGTAGAGTAGCCATTGCCTAATTATTTCAAATACCTTTTAAATTACACTAGCTTTATTGTCATCATTATTATGACTACAGCTATATGGTTATTACTGGAGGTGAGCACAATGCTGCTGATTGCTAGTCGTCAATTATCGTTCTTAGTCCTTGTGCGATGGTGATTTTTGTGTTACTCAGCCGATGCTCGAGGGTCATATTGACCTGCTGATGTATATTTGTTGGTCAGATCTCAATTCGACAAGCCACAGGGATATAGCTGCCGAAAGCTGAACTAGATGGCTGAGTTGATTTATCAAAAAATAGTTCAAACGTTTGCCAAGTTTTCGAGACAGAATATATTTATATTCTCTCGTGGAACATGCTTAACTACTTTCGAATCTGTTTACAAAAACACCTGTGATCATACGTTGCGGTGATGCGGTGAAAGAATATTCCTGCACATACCTTTTCTGGTATACACTCAGTTTTGGTATATATAATCAATTTTTGAATGATGCATGAATAGAATCACTTTTGGAATCTTTTCAGGAATGTGCAATTCGTTTATAATTCCAGCCTCGCAAAACCGTATATTGAATTGTAGACGTATCACCACTTGAAATTCGAGGTCCGCTCAACAACTACTGATTCATTCAAAATTGCACAGACATACTAATTAATTCAGAGCAGAGCTTCCTACCTTCATCACTTATATTCGAGTTCTGCAGACTCGGAAAACAGATGTGAAATCAACTATAATCTCCGTATTCAAGCTACCTTCGGTCTTGCCTAGCCAAATGATGATTCCCTGGTACAAGCGGATAGATGGGGTTGTCTAATATTATGAAACTATATCTGATGCTGAGGAATTTAATTTATTTTCATAAACACTACTTGTTTTCGTGAGATCACCATCACGAAAACTAGAGGCTTATAGAGCCCACAGTATGCCTCTACTATTGCTGCCTGAATCTGATCGAAACACCTCATAATACGTACGGATTGAGTTCAGTAAGAACTGTTTTTCAGTTATGCTCTTCTCAGAAAATGAATCAAAGTTATAAGGTTGAAGTAACATCAACTTATACGATTTTTCGATTGGCAAAATTTAAAAACGGGTGAAATTGACCTAAACATCGCACAAGGGCTAATTTTTTCATTAACGAATTAGCGATTGCATCAAATTTTTGAAAGTTAGCAGAATTAGCATCGGCGGTTCTCTTCTTGTTCAAGATTATCGCTAATACTTTTTGTCTTGATTCGACGATTCAACGTCATCAACGTTAACTTTTTGGCTAACGAATTGTCAGATATTATCATTAAAATTTTGCCCAACGGTGCTCACCTCTGGCTATAACAGATTATCGCATGATATGACTTTAGAACATGAAATTACATTTGATGTGCCAATATTGTACTGTTAATGTATTTGGGTGGTGCAAAACACAGAGCCATTACAGGCTTTGAAACACCGAGCAAAATGGATTCGATTTACTTTGGAAACATATCAGATAAATTTTTGTGACAATCGAATAACAATGACAATCGCTGCCTGACGAAAGCTATTCGAACTTTTTGATATGGTAGCGAAAGCAACTGCTGCTGAGTGTTTCACTTGCTTGGTTGATTTTTCGAAAATTTTGACTGCATTTCTGATGCCTCAGGCAAAGAGGAACCATTTCAGCAGAGAGGATTTTAAACACTGAAAAAATGCATACCTGTCAAGTAGAAAAAGATATGAAATTAGTTCGTCAACAAACACCTGATCAAACATATGAACCATCAATTCAGAAATTGTTGGCTACAGAGGATCGCTTCCTCGCATGGAACTATCATTTTAATCTTTTCTTCGTCAAGACTGAAGAATGATAATTTTGTGAAGGAGTAATTACCTTAGATCTCCAAGAAATCCATCTGTATCAGAAAAAGTCAAAAATACTTGTTGAAGAGAAAGTAGTCAAAGTTGATGGAAAGCAATTAGATGGTTGAAGAATTTTTTGATTTTTAGTACAACTTCTTTCAATTCATTAATTACCAGATCTATGAAGCACGCTTTTGATTCATTTCCAGTTAAAACCGCAGTTTAATGATTGCAGTCAGTACATAACAGTGAGAAGTATTCGAATTCTAAAGAAACGATATATCGCTAGTATAATATGAAAAAAAAGACAGAAAATAACGAGGAGAGACCTTCAGTGTCAGTTAGCGCTTACTATCGTGATGAAATTTTCGAGAATATCTTTTTCTATGACAAAATGAATTGTTCTTGGTACAGTAGAAATTGGCTCAGAAAAATTGCAAAGAACGAGCAACATTTCAGAAGGCCAGTGGTAATTGCGCTTATTACCGTATTGAAAAGACCATGTGCTTTGCGCCATCTANTTTCGAGAATATCTTTTTCTATGACAAAATGAATTGTTCTTGGTACAGTAGAAATCGGCTCAGAAAAATTGCAAAGAACGAACAACATTTGGGAAGGCCAGTGGTAATTGCGCTTATTACCGTATTGAAAAGACCATGTGCTTTGCGCCATCTACAGACGCAATATATTTTGATGAAATTTTGCATGGAATGACATTTAACACATGTGAAACAATCGGTATCGCTCGGTGTTTCAAAACTTAGAAAGGTTTTTTGTGTTATTATTGCATCACCCAATATATATGTCAAAGAACAACGTTTCAATATTAAACCAACCATAATATGCTTGAGGTGTGGCTGCAAATGGAAATGCGGCAGCAGCAGTGCTCCTTAATGATGATGAAACAGGATGATAATAATTTTGGTGTGCACTATTTGTATACATACCATAGCTAGTTGCTGAATAAGCACCATTATAATATGGTGAGTTTGTGAGCATACGTGAATCTAGAGTTCAGTTATTTTTTAGTATAAAAGTTCATTTTATGTTGGAGGAATAAAATTAAATGAAATTATTTTTATGCGTTCGAAATTATTTTTATACACTAAACGCATTCTTAATGAATAGGTGAGTGTTTCATGTTTTTGAAACGTTTTTAAAAGTGCTGCAAATAATCATCAAAAAGCAAAAATTACGCGTTTAAAGAAGATCAAGTGAATGATGAAAAGAGCGATATCTCTAAAAAAGAATACCATATGGCACGAGATGCGTACCGTATGAGGCAACGGCTGCAGCCGTTGCGGCTGCATCACTCATTGCGGTCAGTGCAACCGGACGATCAGGTATGGCTGGCATTAGAGCTTCGGATTTTGTGCCCTCGGGCAGAACACTCCAAACAGAAGTACCACTTAGAAAGGTCGTCGTACTATTTTCAATACGCCCTTCACTGAAATTGTTTATTTAATTTTAAAGTTTAGAATGATTGAAGCGTGATATTTTTGGCATTTTCACGTTGCTTTCCGCCCGAACAATAATAATAACAATAATGGCCATAAACATCAAAGCAAATAAACTAAATAAATAATTGATTAGCAAGTGCGCGCTCGATAAATGACCAAATATGTGTATTTTCATGAATATTTAACGTGGCTGGGTCAAGCAGTTATGTAAGGATAGTAATGTTATGCAGTCTCATAAACACACACAATTCGAACAATAATTATAATTCATCAGTTTAACTGAGTGTTTTCATGACCAGTTAAAGTAGTTTAATTGAATGTTCAAATAGATATTCAAATGTTTCTTGCATCCGTGCGTAATGATGATGGCAATACTAATAAACACATAAATGAAAATAAACAATGACAGTAATGGTGAATAACCGTGATGGTAATAACCAAAAATAATGATGGCACAGCTATGAACTACTCAAAAATTTAGATCTATCGTATCACTGAAAAACACTAACCGTAATGTTTCGTTTCCCGATGCTCGAAATGCGCTCACTTTGCCCTGAAATGATAATGTAACATAAAATCTCAGTATACTGACAATGTTTTATCGATGACGATGACAATAATGATGATACGAATAAAATGTTGATAATGCTAATGACAATGATACAATTATGGAAATTGAAAGTACTTTTATTGATAACAATTGCGAATTATGCAAGTAGTAGAATGAGCATCCGCAAAGCGCATCTCTCAGAAGTAACTTCATAGCTTGTCAGAAAAATATTTTCATATCTTATTCGAATTAACGTTGATATACAATTAATCACTAGAGACAGTATGATTGTTGATCGCAGCTGTTCTAGTGGGCGTTGTTGAGATACGATTGAAGGAGTGGAGAGAAAGGTAGTATGTCAAACACTAAGGGTAGACGTCATTAACCAAAATATTAACAGCGAATCCGATACTTCGTTAACCAAAACATTAACGACGACAACGTTGAACCGTTGGAACGAGAATTATCGCTGAAAATCGTTAAACATATTCGTTAATCACAGGCTTACACTAACTGAAATCTACTGTAGCTGATTCTCTCACTTCAAATTTTGTTTTTCGTATTTATTAATCAATGAGAAGGTAATACTGCTCACACAATAAGTAACGTATACTCAAATATTCGCATGCTCTGTACAAACAACATCATTTCAATTTCAGTGCATAGAGTTTAAACGAATGCATTCTCCCCGAACGAGTCAGCGAATTAAATCAACCGTAGAAAAGTATGGCAGATACTAATTTTATTGAATTTTTCTAATTTAAAGCAGTTGCTAATTCTTTGACGAAAAATTTAACGATGGTAATAAATAATAAGGAAACTCTAACCATCTTTGTTAAGCACACATTTTGTGTGAGATTTGACAAAGCAAAATTCAATGAGGAATGAAACGAGTTGGTGAATATGCATACGCGGATAATAGAAATCATAAAAATGAATTGACGATAAAATGAAAATAACTTTGACAAACGATTTAAACGATAATCCTCTGTGATAATAAAGTATGGTAACAAGTATCACATGTTAATGGTAACAACATAATCAACAATCACTAAAATGCAATAATTAGAGAATTTAACTAACATACAAGCACATAGACACACAAGCATTCATTTAGACGATGAGTATATAGTACTGACGGATTTGACTGCGCTGGGTGGATATGCCTGCTAAACAAGGCAAGCAGGTGTCACCGTAGGAGGTCCACAAGATGGATCCGACCCTCAATTAACCTTCGACCCATAAAAATACATCGAAAAACATAACGACGAGCAAACAAGTCATCCATCTCATTCTTACTTTCACATCAGTTAATACGTTTACAGTTCTAATGAACATGAACGAATAATGCATTCGCAGATTTGATGTTTAATTTCAAATCGTTGAAATGATTCACTGAAGATTTTATCATTCACCTCTTATTAAACTTTGTATTTCATGTAATACTAAAATTGAGGACGAACACTTTTCATAACAAGCATCAAACATAATCGAATGCGTACTTACGAAGGTAGTATCATTCGGATCACGTGAATTCTTAAAGCATACAAATGTACATAAACACATTCACTAAACCATACTAGCCAAATTTTTTGTTCGTTCGAGTTTGAAAGACGTTCAAATCGATCGGTTTAATGACAACAACGGCTTGTTTAATGTGGATATAAAAAGGTAGGATCTCATTAGGATAATGCGATGCTACTGAGATAGACAGATTGAAGAATGAGTAGTGCACCAACACTATTCAAACGCATGCATTTATGAACTGATCAGGAATGATCAAAACTGTTGCGCAAAAACAAATAATAGTTAAATAGGTAATTGACCAGAATTATTCATAACACCACTGCAAAACATCAATTGTTAACTGAATATGCAAATTCATTTATAAGTAAACGTATGAGTATCATCTATTCTTATTAGCACAGCAGCAGATGGTTATAGACTGATTTGTATGTGTATTATTAAGGATCATCATTATCGTCTTCAACAAGCAGTCTAATCCTCAAATCATTTCCTAAGCCTCCAGCTTCAATGATATATTCTTATTTAGGTTCAAGGGTTTGGACCAATCTAAGAGCTATTCTTATGTAAACGAAACCATATTTTCAGTATTATCACTGGTGCAATAAATATTTATGTTTTGAGATGTTTTCGAGTCTTTGATGGCCGCTACAAAATATTCGGGCAGCAAATATGCTCGGAAAGTTGAAATCGGCAACCGGTAAACCTCATATAGGTGCACGTAGATGCATTTTGACCTATTGCGAATCTAAGCCGAAGACTGAGAGTAAGTCTGAGCCTTAACTCGTTTCAAATTTGAACAGATAAGGCCCTCGTGTACTGCAACATGCACGTAAGTTATGAAGATTACTGTTGGAATCAACGTTACAAATGTCAAACTTATTACTTTAGGATTTGCCACTTTGAACGACTATCCACGTTCATATTCGTATTATAATATTACTACTACTATAATGCTATCACTATCAGGAATATATCACCAACATTACTAGTGCCTACCTATGTTTACTCAGTCAAAGTTATTGCCAAATATAAGCAAGCTGTGAAGGAGAACATAAGTGCTGTTGTTGTTGTGGCTTGTAGGAGCGAAATGTAGAAGTGACAATAAACGAGACAACAATATACATTACTCCTTATACTAGCATCTTCCCCAGCCCAGCCGAATGGAGTGCATTATATCTCATAGACCATATTTTATGATTTGCTGAAATCAGTTGAACATGACATCAAATTGCAATTTCAGTAGGTGCCATAATAATGAATTAGATGATCTGTTGTATAAAGAAACATTTGTGTCAGTAATTCGGTCAATAATTTTTGTCAAGTAAAGTGCATATAAATAGGCCTATCAATTGACATGTCTATTTAGATCTGATCTACATGCTCATACTAGACTGCTACTTGACGATTCGCAAGCAACTATATGGAGATGTGGATAAAAATGCTGAACTACTGTAAAAACCACTGACAATCATCTTACAATCGCATTTTGGAAATGAATATAAGCTTTCATTGATCGTAATGCTCGAGCATTTGTTGAGTGATGCGGTATTCTTCATCTCTTAAAGAATACCGTTTTTGATTGACACATATTCAACTATCTTTTAATACTTTCACAACTAAGCATTTATGTCGATCACTTCATTCATCGCCAGCTTATCTGCCTCCTTTGTAACATTGTTCACTGATTAGTCCAAAATTCATCTTATATCCAACTTATTTCCCTTTCCAATTTGTCGCTATTCTCACATACATCATATAATTTCTTTATTTCATCTTATCATATCACTTCTAATTTCAACTTTTCGTTATTCCTAAAAATTCCCAATCAATAATCCACTATTCATATCTACCTTCATTCAATAAGCTTAACTTGAGCATTCATCCACCGTAATCTGATACTTACATCCGCACAACGAAAAGACTCATCATCACTCTCTCAGCTTAACCGCAGCTCACTCAATATCGCTGCCATTCAGCCATTCGTTTGTTAATTACGATTCCTTTATGCTTAAAAGTGTTATTGCCCTAATGATAATAATTATATAAACATGAATATATATATATATATATATATATATATAAAATCATATTTCAC